AATCCATCAAGAATTAGTGTCAATCAGAGTAGCAATCATGTACTGTCCTATCATCTCTTAGATATGAGAACTAGGTCCTTGCTGATCATGCACTGACACCACATGATCATCTGTGTTTTCCATTGTATTTTCTTGTGGTTTTAAAGGATTAGCTCAGGGACATGAGTTCCTTTCATTGCTGGATTAGCAGGCATTCCAGTACTCAACTGATATTACCTGGGGTTAAGAAATTAAAGTGCCATAGTAAAGAATATACTGTTCAACAAACATCAGCCATTTTCTTTTCAGAAATGAGACTTTTGGCATAAAGACTCTGTCAATAATAATTAGTGCTGGCAGTCTGAGCACTTGCAGCAAGACAAAGCGGTAGCAGAATGAATCACTGAGTGTCCAGTGACTTTGTAGGTGAACTGTAGAGGAGTGTTGTTTACCAAAACATTTGTGTTACAACATTGCTTTTCCTGCCCTAACCCTCTAGGTTGCACCATATGTAAAATCATACCTACCTATGATATATGCCATGTTTCTCCTTTCTTTCCAGCAAGATGCTGATTGGAGGAATGACGTAGACCTGAATTAGCTAGATATATGTGGGGTTTATTTTCTTTTCATTGAGTTTTCAACATGTGATACAAAATTTATGAAGAATCTGTTAAAGCAAGAGCAGAAACAAGCTTCCCCCACAAAAATTACACTAAAGATAAACTGGAAATAATAATAATAAAAAAAATCAGTTAAATGTGTTTGATCCTTGAAAAAGAATGAATAAACAAAGACTTGATGGAAATGTGTGGGCCCTTTTAATCTTAAGGTTTATTCCAGCATGCATCTACATCATGCATACCTACTGAAATACTGTAGTGGTTTATGGCAGTGACACTGTTAAGATTATATTCTGTTCATAAAGAATCTCTCTGCAATGCAACAAAGCTCATTAAAATAATAGCGTAGGTATAAGCTTTGCGTTGGCATTTCTATGGGAATATGGCTTTTTTGGGAGGGGTGAATGTACTCCCTCTACAATAACTTGACTAAAACCAGGATGCCTGAAAGCAGATTCTGACATACCATATTACACTCTATTGGCTGGATTTCTCATGGGAAAAACAGTGAAGCCTTGCCAGATCAGTTTATGTTTCCAAAAATTCCAGACAGGGAACTGATATATGAAAATCCATGCAAAAAATGTAGGCCTGATGTGACACACCATGTGCTGAACCAGCCATAGTAGGGTTGTGAATGTTGTTTCCAATTGCTAGAACTGTGAGTGCACATTGGATTCATGGACTTCTGATGTGGTGCTCCTTGGCTCTCTTCATATGGTGCCACAGTGTCCCTAAATAACCTACTACTACTTCAAAATATTTACATACTGCACAATTGAAGATTGCTAACAGTCAAGTAGTACTTTCTGTCTGGAAGCATGTTCAGTAAAACTTAACTGGATGGAATATACTGGTACAAATACAAGACACTGTCATTTGTCCTCTAGGATTAAGTATGTCATGCCTATAATCATGGCACATTGCAATTATTTATGCAATTCACTCACCAGGTGGGGTGACAAACCTTTCTGAACTATGAAGATATTTGTCTTAATTACACTAGGAATACAATCAATATCTCTTTATGCTTCCCTAGCACCTGAGGATATTTCTTAGAACTTCTCACTCAGATAAAAATTTATTGCATTTGTATTACTGATCTTGCTTTAGTTTGATGTTTAATTTGGTGGAATTATTCGGGAGTGACAAAAGACTGAAACCAGAACATGGTTCAAGAAACAAAATATGTCTTTGTTATGCCTTTGGCAGTTGACTTCTAACACTATGAAGTAAATGATGATTATGATGACTATTAGGAGGAAATATGAAAATTGTTTTAGGCTCTCAGGAAAAAGTCCAAAAGAATCATAAAATTAAATTGCGCCTTTAAAAGAGTGGCTTTCACTGCCTTTTGAATTCCTACCTCATTAATAATATTTATTGATGAAGCTAGCCCCCATTCATTTCAGCCATATGGAGGAGTTTCTATTGAAAACATCAGTAAAAGAAAGATGAAATTATTGTTCTCTCAGAATCTGATAGGTTTTGAGCTGTTCAGTCTGAAATGGGATGAGCAGCATGCAGGCAACTTTGAGGAAGAGCTAAATGTGTGAAGAAATACCTATTAGGCATGAGACTCGTAATGAATGACAGAACATACATGTTGATAAAATTGAAGTTTATAACCACTAAAGCATTTGACTGCCACATAAAATTGTTAGGAAACAGCTACATGCTTCCAAGTTTTTGTCAGCCAAAAGGCAAAGGCTATTGCATATAATGATCCTCAGGTTATTTAGAGAGAAAATCAGAATTTTTATGGGAGCAAAGCAGTCATTATTGTGGTGCAAACTTTACAAATTATTTTTTGGGTTTCTTTTTTCTTTTTTTTGTAAAGCAAGTCTTACATTCTCTAGTGGCTGCAGTACATTAATTGATCATTAGCTCCCCAGTAGCTAACTCTTCTGTTGTGCTCCTGCCATAGCTCACAGCTAACTTCAGTAGTGGTAATTTTAATGATGAATGTGCAGTAGTAACAATATATAATTAATCTTTGAATTTAAGCACATCCCAAGGCTTTTAAAGTCAAATGCAGGTTTAAATGATTTGCAGAACCATGACCATAATATCTACAAAATAAAACTGGAGGTAGATTTTCCTAACAACAACAAAAAAACCCCAACACATTAAGAGGACCTGACCGAAAACATATGCCATACATAGAAGAAAATAAATCCTACTCAAAGTCAATAGCAAGTTATGGCGTCTTTTATTTTCTTTTTTGATGATGAAGATCCTGGCTAAAGGTTTATTCAAAAAAGTGGAAGGCCGATACTAGAATAAATCTCAATTGCTGCTGCAGATACCATGTGATACTGCCTTCAGAAATAGTCTGAACATCTTCCTCAACCACAACTACTCTGTCTCATGAACTAAAGGCAAAGTATTTACATATGTTGCGAAATAAAAATCTGGATGGAGAATTTGGTCTAATGGAATGAAGTTTCATACTTTCAAATAGCAAAATAGGAAGTGAAAAATGCTTAATATGGACCACAATCTAAATGACACAGAGATTTCAATATGGTGACATAACCATACTATGATCTGTCTTTTTCCTTCATTACAACAGCTGTCCTTTTACAGGATACATGTGTACAAATATTGAGTATGTCTGGTGTCTATCTGCAGATTTATTAATTTCATTTCTTTTTATCATGTCAGTGTGACTTTCCTGTTGTTGAATCTGTTTGGATAAACAACACTCCATAATGCATACATAAATGCAAGATCAATTTATACACACCCATTTATAAAGTTGCAAAAAAATATGAAAAATAATGGCAGCAAATGAAACAAAAAATATGATGTTTTCTCTTGGTTTTGGTGGCTAACTATACACATAGGAAAAATGTCAGTAAAACCCAGTCACCATATTGATCAAAAATGAAAAGGATGTTTCATAATATAGTTAAATCACTGGAGTCTATGGCATGCTTTGCTTCATATGGGAAAGATGTGCAGCAGATACTAGACATGCACACAGCAGTTTGTAATCAGAACTAGCTCTGCACATCTTTGGTATTAATTACAATCTAAGATTCAGTGGATGTCTTCCCAGCAGCACATACATGGGAAATCTTCATGCAAGCCCTGGGCAAACCATGCATACAGTTAACCTATTCACTACACTTTCTCCTGAGATTTAATTCTGAGATATATGTGCCTGCAGAATGAATTTAAAGCTCTATTTTTGCCTGTGGAGCAAGCTTCAAGGGCAATACTTTCAATAAGTGAATGTCTGACTATAGGCATGGAAAAGTGATGCATAAAATATTATCATTTTGTAATGTGGAAATGTAAACAAGGCAATAGGAAAGAAGAGCAGAAAAATAGGCAGCTGGAGGACATATTTTCCCCTGAAAATTGTCATTTAGGTGGATGATGTCATTATACTATGAGTAAAGGTGATCACTGAATAGTGTCCTAAGGAAGTACTATTAAATACTCATCTCCAATTTTACCCTGACATCTTTTATTTCTATTTAAGGTTTATATGACTTGCCTTTTTTTTCACCAGGAATCCAGTGATAAAACAAAAATCCTTACCTATATTTGTGAGTGCTAGAAAACACTAGAGTTGGCAAAAAAAAAAAAAAGAAAGCAAATGTTCATGGTGTTTAGGCTGAAAAGCCAAGAAAAATGTGCTGCCACACGTCCTAGTTATTAAAAACAATTATATAATTTTTGTATGGAGAATAACCGCGTGAACTTAAACTGCGGATGATGACCATTTCAAGTGGCCAGCATCTGTCATCTAAAGAGGTGGAAACTAAAAAAACCCTGGCTTTAAAAAAAACTGTAAATCACAAAGTTTTAAAACTTCTAAAGGAAATATTTAGGATTTGTTGTGCATTTTTAAGCCATTCCAGGTATGGAAGGAATTGTTTAACTTAAGTGGAATGAACTCATGGTTACAAGGAACACAAGCAAAAACAATTTTAGGAAATCTTCCTAAATTAGATTTCAATACTAAGTTAATGAAATCTTTCTGCCAAATCTCATTGTTTTCAATGAACTTTGGACCATGCCCCTGGAATGTATGAAGCACAGCAGACTGCCCCATGACTATGATCATATTTATAGCTGATCAGTATCCTAAATTCCGGATAACTGACCTGTGAAGTTTTTATTATTTTTTTTATTTTTTTTTTAAATCTTGTATTTATGCTTATTTTCTAGGCCTTTTAAAGAAAGGCTAAAGCTGCCATTAAAACGCACTTCAGTGGCATTTGGATTTAAAAAAAGAGTAAAAATCAACCAAAGACATTTAATGGATACTGTAACTCTTTTTGAAAACCAAATTAGTTCAGCTAAGTTGTCTTTTTGACTTTGTCTTTTTTTCCTATGTGTATATTAGAAAACTAAATTGATTACTGCTTTATTTGTACTTACAAGTAAATGCTGGATTCATTGCCCCCAATATCAGGTGACTGGAGTTTCTGCACAAGTATCACAATTATGCCAATAAAAAGAACAAAGTTTATCTAGGGAAAAAGAAAGGAAACAATGATGACAATTATACATTTTTTTTAAGTATGAGAATGAGACATTCCCAGTGACTTGCTGGCTCCATTGCCTTATACAAACTGCAGTCTAGAAGTTCTGTAGGGTCAGGAGTACTGGAATAAATTTACAAGAGTCTTTTTTGCCCCTTGCAGCAGCTTGCAGAATTTCTTCAGTCCCAAGCACCAGGTTAGATAATCATAAGCAAAAAGGTTTCAACATTTGTCATTATCAACCAGTTCAAAGAATAAAAGGAAAGATCTCGTATGTATCAAAGCCATATAGTAAAATTCTGAGCAGTAAAATCATCTTTAACTCTCATCCTCTGAACTAAGGCACTTCTCAGTTTAGCAGTATCCGTTAGTCACAATTTAGTGTCTCCCCTTTCCTGAAAATCCCAAGTTGTGTCATTTTCCCTCTGCTTGACTGAACCTGGGCCAAGATGAGATGACCTCTAATGACTGTGGGAGCTAGGGGCTGGGAGCCATGGGTGCAAATATTCATCTTCATGTCTTTTATGTTATCCTGGGCTTCTCTTTTATCAAATCATGCAATTACAGATATAGTTTTAAAAATTTGTAGATTAATAAAATTGTTTTACTTCAATACTTTGGCTACAGATTTGGCTGTGACAAACTCCATAGCTTCTTAATGCCAGAAGAAAACAGTGGGAAATTTAAGTTGGTCCCTTATTCAATATTTTTATCCCTGTAAAATATTGTGTGCATCTTTTTCAGAAGAATTTTTTATCTGATCTGAGGACTACAAATGAATGGAGAAGCCCAGTCATACCTTACTTGTTGCTTGAATCATTTATGCTTTCAATAGAAACCAGGTATAACCAATACCTCAAAGACAGAATGTGATCCTTCACAGAATATGTTTGTAAAGCACGGTGATTCACATACATCAATATCACAAAAACCCAACCATTTTGATACCCTTGTGTACAGTTAGCTGAATTATCCTTAATGTGTCTGAAGTTTACTATACTTCAGAAAGCTGTTCAAATACTTGAAAGGAGAACCAAACCTGACGAATGACACCTACGTCTATGCAGGTGCTTGTGAGCTGGATGGCTAAATTCCAACAAAAGTCAATGAATACCTGTCCAGTGCCGTCACTGGAGTACAGAGAGAAACTTGGCATGCCCAGATTTAGACACATATGTGTGGTAAGCCAAACCGCTTTTCAGGTGACTAACCATATTGTCTAGTGGTTCAATTACATTTCCTTACTGGAGGAGCCCAACACCGTTTTAAAATTCCCATATTCTTTTGGGGAAGCAGTTGGAGCCCAAGCAGGCACTTCAGAACCTCTCAGTGAACCATACACAGATATTTAGCATCATCTCAGTAAAATCCAAGACCTCCATCAAGTACAAAATTCTTAGCTACCTCGTTGACAACTTAGAATCTTGTACTATGTCCACCATACTATTATAAATCTAATATTAGATAAATAAATGTATCTGTGAAACGGATTCCTTTCAAGAGGCACAGTCCAGTTCCCTAGTCACTGGTGTCTAGTATTGTTTTAGATGGCCTGTATCTTCCTACTTAGCCTTCAGCTGCCACCGCAAGTGGTACAGAATTCCCATACATCCTATGTCATATTTGCCAGCCCCAGGCAAATGCTTCAATATGCTGTAGGGTCTTACAGCATTTGGTATCTATGTTTAAGCAACAGAATAACTCCTTTTCTACATGGTCTTTGCTTGCAGGCACGACTAAAGTTGTACTAAAACTTCTTTGTAACAATGGAATTGTGGATGGTAAGTGGTGGACATTCAGACAAGCTGTCCATTAGTCCAGCACAGCTGATGCAGCATAGTTTGCAAAGCCATTTGAAGCTATTTGCATTGGTTATTTGCCCTTAGAAGTGTTAATGAAGTGTCTCCTCCAAGTGTTACTTACCATAATTGATCCAACCACAGGACCCTTGATCACCCACCACAAGGCAGTGTTGTCATTCATGTCCCAGCAGCTGCAGCAGTTAATGAAAAGAATGGGGTAGGAAAAGAGAAGGAAAGAGAAAGTTATAACAAAGATGTTAATAAACTTACAATAAATTTTAAGGGGTCAGAGAGTGGGAGATTTGTCTTGTAGCTAAATAATTTTGAGTTCAGAGGTAGTAGTTCTTTAGTCTGTCCCTGTTGTAGCTTTCTTTCACAGCCTTTACCCAGATTATCTGAAAGCAAAATAAGTATTTTTATGGCAATGGTACCTCTTACTAAACAGTTTAGACATTTTGGAAAATGCCTTTATCTGTGAAATTGTCCCTTTAAGCTAACATCACTGAGGAAGAGAAAAAAAAAAAGACAGGGACACCTCAAAGGTTAAGAGAAGGGTATTCCAAAGTTCTGTGTCTCTCATACTTTTCCAGAGTTAACAGATATAAATGTTGGTTCCTGACCCTGGCATGATTCTTCTTACATGTACCTAGCATATCAGAATGTACTAAAGACTGGTTGTATCCACATGTAAAAATGAATTTCCAGTTGCAGGGCTGCAAGTGCTAGCAAGGAGAGAGGATTCATCTGAGAAGGTTCAACTCCTGGACAACAGCTGGGGTCAGCCCCTTTTTTAAGCTGTCAGGGTGAGTGATAGTGAATAAAATGCCATTTCTACCTCAGCATTTAAAATCTTTCTCTGGATCCACCAAAGTATTCTGCAGAAGTTTATTCCATATAGATGCATTTGGACATTCATTTGTAGAGAAAGATAATTACAGGATCTATAATGTATTTTAACATTAACATGTATTTTTAAAGCTAGAAAAAAAATAATGATGAAAAAAATCTTATCTTTCCTGTCACACCACAACCCCCCTGCTACACTATTTTAAGTCATTAAGAATTTGATTGTCAGTTAAAATTTTCTTTTATTTGTCTCTGCTTTCTTCCACTTATGCTTCCCTCTCAAAAACATAAAATCACAGAAAAATGTCTTACTTTGTACCTGCACTTCCAAGAAGGAGGGTCTCCCCCCCACTAGGACAACAGCCAAAAGTCCCAGTAGCAGTTGTTGTGGTACATTTCTTAGATGCCAAGAAACAATTTGAAAGAGCATACAGGAATAAAACACTTTTGAACTTACAAGATCTTAATGGAACTTCTGTGTCATTTAAGTAGTATTCTGATAACATCTGGGGGGGAAAGTGAAAGTCTTTAAGCAAAACTGTACACATGTGTAAATGTGAGGAGGCAGAGCTAAAATTTCATTGTCCAGGTACATTGTGAGAGAAATCTCAAACAGGTGAGTGATGTCTGGTTTAGAAATTTCAGTTGAACTTATATTTTCAGTTGAACAATATATTATTATATTTCAGTTGAACAGTATCTTACTGGATTCCCATAAAACCAACAATAATAATGTGTGTGGCAAGAAGAGAGAAAATTTAGAGACAGGGTGTCAAATTTGCACAGAATTACACACATTTGCTTCAGTCAACAAAGCCTAGAAGGTTCAAATCCCCCCAAATCTGTGGGGATAATGGTTGAGGTTTTCAAATGAAAAGCAGCATTTCTGAGTTACCTCACTTTAGATGCCAAACTTAAAATGTTTGAAAGGGGACAAATGTTACTTACATACAGTATGTATGTTGTATGTATATACATTCATAACTTTTCAGTTATCAACAACTGCATGCCACAAAACCACCTAAACTCACCACTTATATTTTAAATTATTTGCATGCATTTATGAATTAGGTGTCTTCTTCAGGAAATTATCCACTATTTGCAGAGCTCAACCTCTTTAAGATGCACATTAAATCTGCCCTCAAAGTCTTCAGTGGGCTGACCAATATTGGAAGAATCTGTGCAAATTCTAACATTAACCTAGCTGTACAAATAGATACTGATGTATGGCAATTTGTCTATGTGGAAATGAGAAATGAGAATTACCTCTTCCAGTTCCAGCCATCTGTATTGAAGACATCTACAGCCCAGACAATTATCCCAGGCTCTGGCTGGGACAAAGAGACACTTGGAGTTTTTTTTCCACGTTCATGTATATTAAATTTGCACTCTGGGGTGATACATCATCCCCTACAAATCCCTATTGTTCTTAGACTTATTCCTCTCCTTTTACAGGATGTGTGCCCAGCACGCTTAATTTCCAATGCCTACTTTGTAGATGTCAACAAGGAATCAGAACAAGCCCACACAAAGTTTTTTTCAAGGACTTCTTTGGTCCATCCCCTGAGACATCTATAGGATGGATGTGGTGGAAGAAACACCATCTTCTCCTCAGATGAACATGACCAGAAGGAAAAAAAAACATTGCACAACAGAACAGTCTGTAGTGTCAGCTAACAAGCTGTACTATGTAAAGAGGCTCCCTGATTTCTTTCAAATGCATTGCTACAGTGGAGATCAGACACACAGGACTCTTTTCTCATGATGGATGAAGGGAAGAGAGCCAGTAGGCAGGGGGAGGGATGTGATTTCCATTTGAAAAGGCCAGGGTCTGATCTTTGGTACATCTCTGGTGTACATCTGGAATAACTCCATCTAATTCAGCAGCACAGTTGCATTTCTCTGCACAAACCTATCCCGTCAGTGATATGAACCAGGAGCTGAAGTCAAGGAAGCTCTGCCAGGTTTATAAGGAGCAAGCAGGAGGAGACTCAGATGCAGAGTCTGTATTTTAGTCCATGCCTTTGTGACTGTGGTTTCCCAATACACTAATTTCTGCAATGTTTTTAGGCTCATGCTGGCTTTCTCCCCTCCCCCAGAACAATGCTTGCTGATTTTTAAAAAGTAACCACTGAGACTCTCAGCTAGAATCTGTCTAAACCTGTTGCATGCTAAATAGCTTCTCTAACTAAAAGAAAGGAGGTTTTTTTGTTGTTTTGTTTCTTTTGTTTTTTTTCTTGATCTTCCTTCTGCAAGACATTCTCCCTACCCTCAAATCCAAAGACTGTTTGGACTACTAAGATAAATTAATACACTTAAGACCAGCGTTGTAATCATCATAATGACACAGCAGGGTGTTCTGGCTTGTTTTGCATGGAAATAAATGCTTTAATTTGTATTAATGTAAAAATAGAACATTGGGTCAAAGCACTGTCAAACCCAGTGGAGGAAGGACTTTATGTGCTTTCCAAAAAAAAAAAAAAAACATGAAAGACAAGGATGAAGAAAACCTGACAAAACAGTGAGTCTTTGCAAATTCTGAATCCAGGTATCTCTATCATAAGGTGAAATTCAAACATAAGCCTAAGTCTCTCAGAAATGTGACTTGGAAAATAAAGATGCCTTTCATTCAGATCAAGGCTTTTAAAGAACCACTGCTGGATTTTAAAAAATTTATTCAATCATCTCCCTCATTCCCAGCATTTTTCTAACATTTCACCAAGTTCAAACATAGTTGTCATGAAAAAAAAACATTGCTAAGCTTGTGTTTTCAGGGTGATACATACATGTCCATTCCTATCAGCTATATGTGCTGCTCTATCAGACCAGTCTATGGACTACAGAGACGTGCAGGACCATCTCTGTGACCAGATTTCCTTCTTATCCTTTTTTAAAAATATGGGATATTTGCAGGATTTTTCCTCACCAGAACTGACTGATTGGGTGGAATCCATTCCTTGAATTCTTTCTAAAATTATTCCATTTCCTCTCTTTTTTTTTTTTTAATTTCTTTTTTCCACACAGAAGACAAGATACAGATTTCTGTCTCATTCATTTCACTCACTAGGTTTGTTCAAAAAACTCTTTAAGGGAAAGCTAAACTCTTAATTGTCTTTGTAAATCAAAGCTCAGCAATGCCTTGTGCAGATTTCACTCATCTTCTCAGAGATATCTGCAATGATTTCTATAGCTGAGTTCATCACCTTCATCTTCCTACATAGTAAGTTGGAAAGTAGCAGACAATCAGAAGTGTGACTAACCTGACAGGTCTCTTGAGATAAACCATATCCTGGACTCCATTAATCTAACTGAGCAGGGAATGGAGGACTACTGGGTCATGTCTGCTACCCATGGAGGACTACTACCCATGTCTACAGGGTAGATGCCTATATTTTCTATGAATTCCCCAGTGCAGTAGGAGTATAAACAACAAACCATGGCTATTTATGACACACGTTAGGAGGATTTATCCCCCGTGTCTCCCGGCGCCGCAATAAAGAATACCTTCTTGTCAGCTTGAAAACTTTGTTGGCAAGTTTGTTCCTGGAGTTTTCTCCGAATCATTATGCAGATGAACAGGAAAGTAAGTACTCTCAGTTAAACAACGGACCTAAACTATTTGCATACACAAACCAGTGTCAGAAGTGGAAGAAGAAATTAGCCATGTCCTCTGATCACTAAATGGCTGATTTCTATCTCACCCTTGCCATTGTGCTGAATGCACGTGAAATTATTTTCCACTCAGCAACACCTACCCAGTATCATCAAAGTGAAGTCTCAGCACTGCCCAGACAGTGACACAAATTGTTGGGGTACCTGCAGAAGACAAGATGGTGATATCATTAGCAGTCTAGACACATTTAGTATTCAGCAAAGAGCATTTTTTTGCAACCTCTCCACTGATGTTCTATTTCTAATAGCACTAGTGCATGAAAAAATGCAATTCATAACTTTAATTTAGAGCTCTAGAAACATCTGTTTCAATCAGAATATCGGTTGGTCTTGGTGGGATTGCAGAAGCAAAACTGGTAACAGGAAATAATTATGTTGTTTCAAGTTATTTTTGCTCAAAGTTGTTGCACTGCGTCTTGTTGCATGAATAGTAAATCATAGGCTGTACAAAATAAAAGCAGTGACATCAGCTTCTGTGTCAAGAGTTACTGTAATTATGCAATAATTGCAGAGTGGCAGATGTTAAGCTGTAATGGAATTATTGTATTCCTTGTATTCTTAAGTGTTTTTGCTGTAAATGCTTTGCATATATTGCATTTTCTCTGGTATTGTGTAAATAAATTATTTTGCTTTGCTTATTCAACCAAAACAAATCAGTAGAGGATAGTTTTCCTTTCCTAACAGGAATATTTATTTATCTTTTTCAGGAATAAAAAAGGGCAAAACAAACACCAAAAAGAAAATACAGGGAGCAAGAATTTAATTTCTACTTCAGATATTTCTTTACCATTTAAAAGATGAATGTAAAATACAAATTAACTAAAACCAGTAAGAATCCACTGAGAAAACTGGACTTATTTTCCTTTCTAAAACACTAGGAGTGGGGTTTTCAGTGGAAATTTTTATAAAATAATGCAATTTTGAAAGACAGCTTTGGGTAAGTTGGATCTACATTTTATGGAAAATAAAATCTTTGGCTAGGAAACTGTCTACATCTATTCAGGCACCATTGTAAAAATGAAGTGTTAAAACACAAGCAAAACAAAGACCTTAAAAACCCCAGCATTCAGAGGTGAACAAGAGTGTCATAAGTTGACAGGAACAATTATGTTTCATACATTTTGCAAGGCTGTGTTCATGTCACATTAATTAGTCATTCAACTGATCCACTTAAGTGAGTTGCTGTCAAATCTCATATTCCCACTATCAGAAATAAAAATATCCCTCTTAGACCTAGGTGACTGATAAAGCCCTCCTGCTTTAAAAAAGCACACAGAGGAATATTTGAAAGGAAAATGATAGAAAGAAATAAGATGACAGGCTTTGGGAAAAAGAAACTATGCATATTCAATTTAAACTGAAGTCCACTTTTCTCATATGAGAATACCTAGAAAACATTGAGATCTTTGTGCACTTAACAGTTGCACAACAATAAAAATAGTGTTTAAATATCAAACATGAGTCTTGTGCTAGCTAGTCTGCACTGATTTGCACTATATAGAATAGTGTTGCAGTCTGAAAGATGGGAAAGAGGCAGAGCTAGACTAAATGTGATATAAAAATATAGTTTAAAAAGCACATTCTAGATCAGTTTGGAGTTTTAAACCATTTGCTATATAAATATACATACACTCACATTCTTTTTCTTTACATCAAAATGTATATATGTATCTTCAGCACCTTCTTTTCTGCTTCTGAGTATCATTAGATAACAGGAAGACTCAAGGCTGAGTAGAGAGCTATTCTTGCTGACTGTGCTTCTGCCCTGAGTAAGGAGCAGGCATTAGGAGAGGTCTCAGGAAGACATCAGTCTATCCAGAGAATTTACAAGCATATTGCATATTTAAGAGGAAAAAATTATCTGGATCAACACAGCCATATGGAGTTCTCATTAATCAAATGAGGACACTGATGTGCTCAGCACATTTTAAGAAACAGATAAAGAACCAGATGCTGCAAAATTTTGAGCTCTTGCTTATTGTTGCTCCCATACAAATCCTTCCCCATCAGCTCTGATCTGAGGGGCTGCTTTTGCCCTACAAACTTGCATCCAGTGTCTGGAAGTTTAAGGTATGTGGTTTTATGTAGACTTTGCTCATAAGCATACAGGATTATTTTCAGATTATTTCAGAAGTATGTTTAAGTATAAAAAATTATTATAAACTTCTTAGATTAATTAAAATGAATGCATTCTACATTCATTTATCTGACTTCTGCACAGAAATGTCAGCAAAGAACTGTTTGATTTAACATGTTACAGGATTCCATTTATCTTCGGAAGGCCAGAATGAAAAATAATTACACTGGTTATCGTTGTCCAGCTGGCATTTCTGAAACAAATCTCATTTCTTCACATTGAAAGCTTCAGTTTCCCATTCAGGTAGGATAAGCATATGTGGATACCCTTTGGATAAATTTTCAATTTAGCTATTACTGGAAAAAAGGCACAGATTAAGTTTTAGAAAATGGACTAGATTTAGCATTGCAGATTTGATTAAGATGAAGAACTTGGCATCAAGATCATATCTTGTAGAAGGAAATTATCAGTTGTGGACTATATCTCTGGAAGAGATGTAGTGTCCTCCAGATTTCAATTCAATTCTACTCAGACAAAAAAAGCACAAGATGGTTTGGTCTGCAGTGGTCCTTCTATACAAAGACTAAAAGTATATTTTGAAACTATATGTGGAAATATTAGATGGCTCATGGAGTTGTTTTGCACACTGAGACACATTTTAGGCAAGAAATGTCACATACCCCAGCCAATAATAGTGTACCAGTAGAAATATCTCCTCTCTGGAAAAAAGGTTTCTACCAATAAAGTAAAAAGGTACAATCCCTCAATGAAAAGCCAGAAGTAGTTGGACATGACACAGTAGTGAAAGAACACCATCACTGCTTTGCATTCAACCTGCAGAGAATCAAGAAAAACAAAGTTATTTCCATGTTGTTTCCACCTAACAGACAGAAAAAAATGCTTTCAACCTCTCCAAATCTCTTAGGTGAAAGGAACACAGCTGGGACTAATATTATATACTTTTAATAGTAAAGTTTTAAAAGCATGAGAAGAATGTGAGGTGCCACTTAGCAAAGCTTGAAAGGGCAGGTAGCCAATTTTAGCAGTGGGAGATGGTCGACGAGTGTTTGCAGACGGCTTGAGAATGTCTTGCGTTGGTGGGAGTTCACATTGTCAGTGAACACTAATTGTTAGATTTAAGCCCCTTTCCAAGGATTAAGTGCAGAGAAGAAAAGAATCCACTGTGTATTGAGAAACCTAATGAAGGATGTGAAATGGCAGGATGATTGTGGAAAGCCCTGAGAGTGGGATCAGAAAGGATGCACCCTCCTGTGTGCAGTTGAGAACTGAATTTCCTTGCCATTTGGGTGTTGTCACTCAGGGACAGAAAATGAAAGTAAACATAAATGTAAAGAAAGCAGAATGATTTACTGTAAAAAATGACAAAGCTTTCATTCGTTTACTGTGGGAGGAAAGAAGAGGACAAAAGATAAAAAAAAAAAAAGAAGAAGGAACTGCGGTTGTTTGGCCTGGAGAAAAGGAGGGCCAGGGGAGACAATGTTATTTCTCTCTACAATTACCCAAACGGAGGTTATAGCGAGGTGGGGGTTGGTTTCTTTTGCAAGTAATGAGCAATAGGACAAGAGGAAACAGCCTCAGTTTCTGCCAGGGAAGGTTTAGATTGGATATTAGGAAAAAAATCTTCACTGAAAGGGTTGTCAAGCTTTGGAACAGGCTGCCCAGGGAAGTGGTTGAGTCACCATCCTTGCAGCTAATACATATACACTTGTATATGTGACACTTCGGGCATGGTTTAGTGGTGGAGTTGGCAGTACTAGGTTGATGGTTGGACTTGATGATTTTAAAGGTCTTTTCCAGTCTAAATGTTCTATGATTCTGTGTTTCAGTGATAAAAGTCTTAGATGAAAACTGAGTTTTACCCTGACTCTGTGAGAGTACGACACACTTGCTTTTCCAGTGTTGCACCCCACTGAGACATCATTAGTCCTACAAAAGTGGGACTTTTCAATAAATCATAGCAGAATTAGTGTATAAATTGAAACACCTGCTTGGGACAGTGGGCGCCTGACAATTTTGACTGGTTCTCACTTGCACTCCATCCTCTGGGTCAAAGCTAGAACCAACATGTTGGAACCATCAGATACTGAGTTTCTTCATGGAAGCTGTACCAGGGCTGAAGATCTGGTCATTACATAGCTTATTTTAACATGTTCAAAACAAAAAAAGCGGATGCCAGTATTAGAAAAGCAGTATGAACAAACGACGCATCTAACAGGGCTTCAGCTTTATCATGGAGAAGAATTAAAAGCAAAATCTAGTTTCAGTGACAAAGAAATGTCTGACTAAGAAACTACACAGCTGCACTTTCCTTGTGGAAATGACTGATATGGAATTTAGCTCATAATTGGATGGGTAAAGGAGATCTCAGTTTCGGAATTCACTGCAATTTTTATCATAATTACACCCAATGAGCTGACTTATCAAATCAAATACTAACCTTAAATGTGAAAGGAACTGGAATTTACATGTAATATATAGCTAAGCGCATCTGCGAAAGAGACTGCATTCCATGAAACCACACACTTCAGACACATAAATAATACCAATGATTTTTTGAGATTATGACCCTAAGGGGTATTTTCTATGACTGAATGGTCACCCTATTGACATACAGCTCTGGCTGACATCCAGAACAAATGAGGCTTTAGAGAAAAAACAGACCTTCAGATGAAGGAAATTGCTTGTGTCTGCTCTCATCCCACCTACTACTATGTAGATCTGTGAAAGGGAGAAACAACCTGAGTATAGTCAGAAATCAAAACCTGTAGATTTGTTCTGAAGGATGGAATGCTGGATGCTAATGACATCATGAGACAATAAAATCCACAGTTTTGCTGTAAACCAGGAGGGAAATTTACCACTACCTTTTCTCCCAATAGCTTCTCAGTTTATGATATCCAACAGATTGCTGTCTGCCTCTCAGACTGCTGACAAGAATAAAGGAAAAAGGCTTTGGCTTCGGTTTTACTTACTGTTGAGATGAAACAGTGGTTGCCATCCTGTTCAGCATAAAGAACACCATCTTTAATGAATACAGATATTGCACGAAGGATGAATGAAACAAAGAGGTTCATGTGGATAAAATTTCGAGTGCAGTGAAGCTTCCTAGAGAAGAAAGAACAAAGGGAGAGGAAAAGAAGAGGGAGGGAAAAACCAATAAATTTTCTTTCATGGAAATAGCACACTAGGCCAGTCTGTACACATGGCCAGAACATCTTGGGACTAAGAATAGCAACATCTGAAAATCAGGAGTGCCAATGGTACTGATACTAAACCTGACCAAGATGAGTATTTGGAGATTTTCCTGTAAAAGCATGCAGGTTAGAATAAAATATAGCCAGCCCAATGCAGCTTCTGCAGTTGCATTTACAGTCTACTAAAATGTGACTACTAGAGTGTGTCCAAGCTGGGGTAAGAACTCTGTTAAGTTGTCCCCTCTTATTCTGCATCTGGTGAGCTAAAAGCTTAAACGTTGTTTTGGGCAGATGATCTCCCGTTTCTTTCCTCCAGTGACTGAACAATTCATGGCTTATGTCCTGACTCACCTGAAACGACACAGGATAACCATGGCGGTGGTGAGGGAAACAAGAGAAGTGCTGTATCCCACCGTATACAGAGCCTTCACAGATAGATAGTAGTAATCCTTGGGAGGCAAACAACACACGATTAAACAGTTCATCTATAGTCACATCTTCTTTAGCCTGTCAATGTGCAGCGGGAACCATAGGCAGGACTTGCTTCTTGAACAGCCTGGTTGTTTTCTCCTCTTGGTTCACTTGAGATCTTACTTCATATTAGAGCCTTGCTCTATGTCTGGCATGCCCTTGGGTCTGCATACTGTGAAGTTTATTTGTTGGTGAGCTAGCAGAGGATGTCTACATTACTTTGACCACTCTGCATGCGTCTTCAGAAAAAAAAAGTAGTTGGCTGAGGGATTCTTTAGTCAATAAGGGAGGAACTGGAGGCTAATCCATGCTTCTAGAAGTTAAAAGCTGTATCAACAGTAAACACTCATATTCTGAAAATATTCAATACAGGAATAAGAAGAATCTTGCTTCTCACATTTTTATGCTTATGAATACCTGATTATTTCAGCCTAATCACCATCAAATCAGAACATAACCAAAAAAGCAGCCTGTTGCTTCCCCTCTCCCCTTCATTTGTTTTTTATTATAAGATTCATTCTCACCTGGTTATCGGACTCTGTTTCATTTTCGTCAAAGCCGCAGGCATCATAATAATGCGGAAAAGGTTCAGACCAGCCATCTTCAGTGCAATTTCTGCTGATGTCCCCTATGACAAGTACATTTGGAAATGTGACATTGCTGAAGCAAACTGCAGGACACATCCTCCCTCCCTCTCCCTCCCAAGTCCATGACCAAAGCAAAACCCACAGTACTACTGGGGGTACTATTTATCTGGCTATCCATAGAAGACTTTAATGGCATCTTGAAATTTCAATGACATTTTCAATGACCCAGTTTTACAATATCACCTACAGATGTTTACTACTACAACTGGTTGAGAGAGAGCAAAAAAGATTTAACCAGTATAGTCAGTGCCTCCAAGTCATCGAATACCTAATTCTCAAGCGGGTACTTAAAACAGGGGTCAGCTAAATGTGCATTTCTTCACTGACTCTGAAAGGCATCCAGAGAATACAGATTTGATGTAAACATCTACACTTCAGATGGCCAAAGGTTAAGTCCAGTACTTAAATATAAACACTTTGTGCTGTTAAAGATGATCTATATATAAGGCATATGCAATGAACTGGCAAAAATACACGCGGCTAACATGATTTTTTTGGAGTGGCTGCTGAAAGCCAGGCAGGATACCATGGGATATCTAAAATAGCCATTATATGTCTATGGTGAGGCAGCTGGATTGTTCTCCTATACTCAGATAACATGTATCCCACTTATTTATTTTCAAGACTAGGCTCTGATCTAAGTGACTTTGTGAGAAGTGTTTCTAGGGAAACAAAGGGAAGATGGAGTGAGAATTTCTTCCCTGTCTCTGTCTAAATAGCAATATGTTCATTTACATCACCAGATGTCCAGTGGCTTCAGTTCACAATTTTAAACCTGCTTCAGAGGTTCTCACATTTCCCTCTTCCAAGCCCAGTTTAGAAACTTTGAAACAAGTTACTGCAAAGACACTCAATGCTGGCTCAAAGAAAACCTCATTCTCTTTTTCTTTTTACCCTAATTGCTTGGCTAATTTCATTTAAGGACTAGCTCCTAAATGGCTTTCACTGACACAGTTAAAAGATTTAAAACTGTATCAAGAAGCAAGAGCTGGCGGTAGAAGAGGAAAGTGTCTCTCGACACTCACTTTGCTACTGCAGATGCCTCAGGTGGGATGGCCTCCATGGTGCTCTTTTTAAGCACCATTGTCCTTTCAGAGCTCAGTGACCTGGTTGAAAAATTAAAGATGGGCTGCTGGCTGTACTTGCTACTCTCCAGCACAATAGAACAGTTTCCATTTATTGAATTATTACACTTCTTGGAGTTTGAGCTGTACCATGACCAAAACTGATGGAAATTTCCAAGGTGCTTTGTTGCTTGATTTTGTGTTTCTTTTAAAGTTCTGCAGCTTCACATTCTTAGAGCAGTTTAGTCTAATAACTGATAACACTAGCAATGACCTTATTTTCAGAGAATTTGCCTGCCATCCATGCAGCAGAATATATCTGTTTAATCACAGCATTCACTTAACAACAGTGAATTACTTCGAAAATACTAGTAAATTACTCTTGCACATTCATTGCTAGTTTTTTATGCAAAATAACCACTGAATCATGGTGTTGACTTTCTTTAACATTATTCAGTAATTATTGTTAAATGGGTAAATATAATTTATAACAACACACTTGCTAGTTTGCAAGGCTCAATAGTGGATGAATAATTTTTCATAATACTGCTAAAAGTAATGTACCAGAAAATGTGTCACCATAATTAGAAATGATTTATAAAATAATACCTAAATGGCAGGATAACAGCTTGGAGCTTCCATCTTGAGTTGAAATAAAAAGAAAGAAACATTCCATGGTCCTGTTTCTTACCTAGGGGAGACTGGGCTGTGCTTTCCAGCAGGTCATAATCACCTATAAAAGTGGAAATTTGGTATGAAATTGTTTTGATTGTGTTTTCTATTAGGACTCAAACTGGTGTCTGCAGAAATCAGTGAATAGAATGCAATTGATTTTAATTTGACTGCATCAGGCCCAAAGGCAGTATATACTCAATTCTGTGTTTTTAGAAAGTAAACACACTTTTACTTGTGACTTTAAATCAAAACTGAACCTTTAAAATTCGAAAATTTCTATTGCAAACTTCAAGCACATAGCTAAAAAGACATACAATCAAACTAGGATAAATGTTATTGTAAAACTACTGAAGTCAAATATTGTATCTTTAGAAATTTACATTTTTAATCTATAGGTATTTAAGTATGGTTGGTTTTCACAGAATTAATGAAAAATCATTTTCATTTATTAATTACAAAAAGCAGTAATTCATTTTTTTAAAGCAAGATAGTTTAATTTTTCTGTTTCAGGTTAAATCACATTGCTTTCTAGGAACTTGTCAGATTTTTACTTCCACTTTTTATCAGAGTGTTACAGAGATGTACAGGTATTCATCATCATAATGGCTTACACCCAACTTTTCAATAATTTGATATTATCATGTTCTCTACATGTTATCTTTGAGAAGAAAGGTACATAGGAGGTAGTCAGCACAATTGGTTCTTACCTGCATGGGTTTGACCCAGATTATCTACTTCCCAACCTGAAATGAGAGGAATAATTAATTTTGGTAATAGTTTGCAATTTGATTTTGATAATAATTTGCTTCCTCTTAGAGGAATGGATGTAGCACAGCCTAGAGAAGAACTGCAAAAAAAATTGTTTAAATTCTTTTACAAAGTCATTACTGTACATTTATGGTTGGAAAGTGTTTCTCAGAAGATGGTCGATTGCACTGTACTGTTAGATTTCTGATTATCATGGATTTCCATTAAACTCTAGGTAGTATATGAAAACAGATGAAGCAGCTTTTTTGTCGGTTGGTTTGGGTTGGGTTTTTTTTTAGAAGAGAGGGAAGGTTCTGAAATAAAAAGACCCACACATTTCCAAGATATTGTCCTGAAATTCATGGTGATTTGTATGCCACAAATACAAATGTTACAATGGGAAATGAATAAACTTTGGGTTTGCACAAAAAAAAAAAACTTCCTTTTCCTTTCTTTTGTCCTTCCAAAAGAAATTCTTGGGATTATCTCAAACCAAACTCCCACCCACCCTACTAAATAATTAATCTGAACACCACTCCAGGCAGACTTTCCCGAATCTTCAGTGGAGCACTGGCTCAAAACTCGGCGCTGTGCACGCATAAGGATCAGCTGCCTAAAGCCACCGGGTGGTGCTGTTGCATCGTGCATGGAGACGAGCCTGACAAAGCTGTCTGAAAAATCCCTGACAGGGGCCCAAGACCACGGAAAACAATGCTTCCGACTTGACCACTACAGCAGGTTAAATGTTTACATTAGCTTAGCTCTGTATCCTCTGGAGTAACCACAGGTTCTTCTTCTTTAACCCTGAACACATGGTCAAATCTTAACTAGGGACTGGAAAAACAATTCACCAATTTGTACAAGATGTTTTTTATTAAAAGTAAAATCCAATCAAAGATTGATTTTTGATTTTATGGGAAAGGAACAAGAGAGCATCTAAGGAAACAAAATAGTAAAGGGGGACTTTTGAGTACATTACTGCATAATATGCATTTTATGTTTTATATTTACTCAAATTCCTTGTTACATAATAAATTTAAATTAATTGATTTCTCTCCTCTAAATAAATCATCTTTTTAATTTTCTAAGATAGAAAACAGTGAATTTAATGTGAAGATGATGGTGTGAGCCTGGAAAAGTAAGCTGAAGCCTCAGGCAGGCTGTACTGTGTCTTTGAATTGATATATTCAACATCAAACCTACACATTCAACCCACTAGTTACTTTGGAAGGTTAATACTGAAAGCCATGAACATTCTTGGTCTCCTGGCTTCTCTGCCCAACTGCAGCTCTTTTCAGGGTTTTACATGTCAGAATTCTTGGATGTTTACAAATATTGGGTAAGTCTACTTATTCTAAAGAGAATTCATCAGTACAAACGTTTTCCAGCAAAGACTGTTCAACCTGATGCATCAGAGTAAATTACCAGATGCTTCAGGAGCACTATTACTGTGCTCCAGATTCTTGGCAGAATGACAGGGATGCCTTTGCAGAATAGTTTGGACAAGCCTGTTAAACCTTCTGAGTCTACCAAACCCCAGGTTTATCAACAGTGGTGTAGCTCAGATACAGATGACTATGTTGCTAAAATCTGAATTCAGAATACCAACTTTAGGATATTCTGTGAGAATTTTTAGCTGTTGCTATATTAGGCAATTAAAAGACCAAAGAGCAACCCACTATTCTTCTATCACTGTCTTTCGTAACCTGCTGGCAGTCAAATCAGTAGGTCATAACTGAACTGCTTCCTTACATGAGGTCACCTCACTCTGTAGCCTGTATCTTGCAACAACCCACAGAAGAAGGGTAAGAAGAAGCTGTGAGAAAAACTCAAAAAAAACCTTCTCTGAATCACAAACATCCAGTTTTAGTGTATCAGTTGTACAGTGTGGCTTAAATCCTGAAACGTGATACTGAAAACTTTCCAGAATTCCTTTTGGAGAAAGACCAGTCTAATATTATGCAGACTGAAGCCCGATGTTCCTGGAACCGTGGCACATGACACTGACGGCTCAGAGAAAATAACTTTTTTATATCTAAATGTTTTAAATTTAACTATTTTTTTCCCTATAATCTAAAAAGGAAGAAATATAAATTACCATTATTTCGCTTTATATATGGGTGGCAGTCATACTGATGTTAAAATATTAGACTGTAGTTCATTTTGAATCTTATGATATCTGTATTAAAGGTTAAAACATCATGTTAATGTAGTTTTGTGAAGAGGCTTTTTTTTTTTTTTTTAATATACCCAAGTTATTACTGCATTTTAACTGTGTTTGGCCATTATGAAGAGATTCATGTTTTGACAACGTTAATTTTCTGATTGCTGTAGGAGGAAACTTGACTTTTATTAGCATGTTTGTCTACATCTGAGTCCTTGTTAATTTGCTGAAGAAAGTTCCAGTACAACCTTTTGCTATACAAGCTTTTAGGTTTGATCCATCAACCTAATTTTCACTAATAAGTTAAGCTACTGGAAAGTTAATTAGATTTACATAGAACATTATGCCCTGAAGTACAGCTAAAAGTCAGAGTTTGTCTAATGAGTGTTGGGATGCCATACACACATACGCAATTATATTTCTGTGGGTATGCATATACATATATATATATATATGTATGTAAGCACACAATGAGGGAACATACAGCCACCATCTGGCTTTAAATTCTCAGATGCTGCTGCTGCCCTTCTCTCTGACACCATATGTTAATGTATCCTGCACCAGAATATGGATGTTTACATGACAGATAACTGTGCCAATGGCTATGTTTGCTCACACGTATGAGAGTGCGATGGAGTTTGCACTCTACTACAGATTTCTAAATATACAGGGAGAAAGCCTGAGCTTGCATATGAGCTGGGCTTGTCAGAAGTCCAGATACGGGGCTCTCCCTCTTATTTTTCAAACATATACCCTAAAGCTGCATTTCTGTGGGTTTTGTTTGTTTGTTTGTTTGTTTTCACCTGAGTGCCCCTCTCACTGTAGAGAGAACTCAGCAACTTTACTCTGCGGTCAATGCCATCATGGGCTGAATTGTAGGGCATCTTGCTTTCATGAGTTCTCTCATTGCCTTACCTTTAGGACACAAACAACAACAAATCCAGGCATTAGACTTGACTAACAAAGTAAAGAAAGCCCATCAAGACAATTATACAACAGGTTACATGAAATACATTATTCTCACAGAAATGAAAATAGATAAAATATGCTTTTCATCTGCAGTTTGACTGGAAACCCAGTTTTCGGGGGTTTAATTCAAGGATTACATTCATGACAGACATGAATGACACCTGTGCTCCTCACCTGCAGTTAAAATAACAGCACAGCCCAAACTACAGAAAGATGGACCCAACAACTGTTATTAAACTGTAACTTAGAACACCATTTTTTAATTAATAATTGCTTGCATTAGTCAATAAACTTCTGTGGAAGCTAATGTTATCCTTGACAAAGGATGGCTTATTCACTATATTGAGAGTGTTCACTATTTGACCAGACTGAATAGGCAAGTGTCATGCTTTGGGAAGTAAAGCATATCTTCCATTAGTACTTTAACTGGTATGATTAATTAGATGTTATTTGCAGTACTACTTAGAGACCTTAGAGAAGATACATCAGAATGTTGAACTATTAATTCCAAAGACAAAACATAGAAATCAAACACAGAAAATATTTCTTGTTTCTGTTTTCTACAGGAAGAGGTGAAAAGGTTTTGGAGGGAAAAGTCAAAGGACTTGACAATGGCTTCCCCCAGTTAGTGGCAGAGACCCAGACCTTCCATCCCCTTTTCTTCCACATTTATCTGACTTTTTATCTTGGTTTCATTTGATGGGCCCCAGAAAACATAACTGCCTCCTCAATGTCCTCCAACTGATGATGCAAGCAATTGTTGCTTCTGATTTAAAGTGAACAGGTCTCACAAAACTAAAGCCAGTAAACAGCCTGTGTATGATGAGCTTCAGAGCTCAGTGCAGCCTTTTAGCTCTTCTCCTTCATGCCAAATCTGTGCTGGCTGCTTTAAGTGCCAGCTGGCATGGCAACTGCTTTATCTCCCATAGGTTTGTTTATCTGAACACAACTTGCATTTAACCCTTTCATTCCAGTATTGTCCCTTATTAGTGTCGGGGGGGAAATGAAAGGCTTCCAAAACTATCCTATCCTGAAATGACCTGCCCACCCTTTTCTCTTATTCCTGTTGTTCCCATCTCAGTATTATGGGTTGTAGGACTGAAGCAAGTAATCCTTCAAATGATTTTATTTTGACATTGAAATCAATGTGCAAAGCCTGCACTGTTATTGCTGTATATTAATTCTGTCACTTTTGAAAGGGCAGAGACTGGGGCAGGGAGAGGTTATGGAAAACATTTCCTACAATCACTTGTTATCACGCTGTCCAGCTATGTGGATAATGAGCTGATAAAGCAGGAATTCGATTTTTTTTTTCCTGTTTTATACAGCACTGATTAGAAGCTAAACATTTAATTTATAAATATGAAATAAATCAGTGAGCTCTCACGCCCGACTCCACAGCATTCACCACATTGTGCCTCTTCCCTCCCTTCCCTATTGCTGCATGCTGCTCTTCTGTACCAGCAATCTGTTCAGCCTCCTGGCAAAGCCACAGTCAAGAACAGCAGTATACTTAGCAGCTTTTCTGGGGCTTTCTGAGCTCCTGACACAGATACTACTTATATACTCTGCCTGCTGCTTTTAATGCCCTCTGCCCAGTCCTGTAGCTGGGCATGCATGATCCCACATGCACACTACCCAACCACCTTGGTTCCTTCATTGCAGCTCTTTTCTGGGAGGGGAAGGTGATCCAGAATCAGCTGCTAGGTTTTTACAATCTCATTAAAAAGGATCTGTAGAAAGTGGCAGCCAGGCAATGTTATAGAGCACACAGCCTTACAGGTTGCCACACCTTTTCCTATGCTAAGTTCTTCCCTTCACTATTTCCAGGTATTTTGGTCTCTCCAGCCTCATGCTCCATAG